CTTATCTACTGTATTTCTCTATCTCAGTCTCTCTCTCTCTCTCTCTCTTTCTCTCTCTATATCTCTCTACCTACCAACCTACTTACTCTCTCTCTTCCTACCTACTGTATTTCTTTCTCTATTTCTCTCTCTCGCTCTCCCTACCTACCTACTGTATTTCTCTCTCTCTATTTCTCTCTCTCTACCTACCAACCTACCTACTTTCTCTCTCTTTCTACTTATCTACTGTATTTCTCTATCTTTTCTTTCTCTATCCCTCTACCTACTTACCTACACACTCTCTCTCCCCCTACCTACCTACTGCATTTCTCTCTCTTTCTCTCCCTCTGTATCCCTCTATCTACCTACCTACTTTTTAAAAATTTGCCTCTTCAAAACCTTGATGCGTCTTATACTCCAGTGCGTCTTATACTCCAAAAATACGGTAGTTTCCTCATTACTTGGACAAACTTTGTTTTACTGAAACAAGATACTGGCAATGCCATCATGTGGCTTAAGTGTGCTTACCCTGCTTTTTGAACCCAAATTTTGTCTTAGTCAACAAAATATAGTTAAAGAATTTACAGCATGTATGAACCCAATCTACTTTCCCTTTGATGCTTATATAATAGCCAAAGTAATAATTTTCTCTCCTAAGTATAATATTCTCTTGTGCTTTAGCTTATATGAGTTGTGAGTTCAGTTGATGTCCTCTGGTATCTGCCAAAACTTTGATGATAAATTTCCTGTTTATATTGCCTGTATAAAATACAAAACCGGAGAGGCTGCCAAAATACTTATTAGGCCATAATATTCAACAAAATGTTCAGCTTGGTGGCCATAATACTTGTATCTTCTCTCTCTTAATGGAGACTGAGTTCTTCCCAAATGATCCTAAGCCTCAGTTTGAAAATCCAGTTTGCTCAGTAGCTGTAGCAGAGATGAGTTTCAAGAGCCATCTGGTTTGTATTTGGGAACAACAGCATTCTAAGGTAGGAGACACACCAGGACATGGGGGAAATGACAAATCCACACAAAACTCACCAGATGCTGAAGTTTAGTTTTCACCACAATGGGTACTCCATTCACAATGACCTTACATTTATCCCAAGGAGATACAGTAACTTTGCCATCGGTGTACGTGAATGTTGCGTGCTTATCCAAAATGCTGGAAAAGAGCAAGACAAGCAATTCATACCAAAAGTCAAAGGTTTCCTGCTATAAATCCAGGAAATATAAGACGGCTAATAACACAACCATATATGGAACAAAGAAGACATCACTGGGAACGAGGAAGAGAAAATGAAGGGAGGACAATGTCCTCATTTTGCATATCACACATTTCTATTTCAGTCTCTACCAACACTTTCACATCTCACAAGCCATAAGAGATTACCTCTTCCTACGATATCTTCTTATTTAGTCAAGCTTAAGATTTTTGAAAGGCTAAGGGCTGGAAAAGATAGAGCAATGTTTCAAAATGTTCAGCACTGTATCTGGGAGGAAATGTTTTAAAAATTTAAATTTTCTTGTAATTATCTAAAGCTCATGTTACAATGGTTGTATGATTCCTGCCTCAAAATGGTGGCAGGAATTGTAGCACAAATTGTAGTTGAAAAACACTGAGAAAGAAAAGGCCCTGATGATCCATATGGGTCTGGAGGTTGTTATGATCCAATAGAAAAGGAATGGACATTCTAAGACAAATAAATATATTACATATAATTTGTCTTAAGAGTGTCTATTCCTTTCTTACATTAGGAAAACAACATCTTACACACTAAGCTATACAGAAATGCCTGGAATATCACAGTTGTGAGACAGGGAGACAAAGCTATTAATAAGTCTCTTATTTAATAAGCCTCTTAGCACGCTTTTGTACCTGCCTGAATAATCATTGCACAAAAATACAAAGAACCAAATTATATCCTCACCAAGGTTATGCACTCTCTCTGATAGTGAGCACTAAATTGTTCTGATACATACCCCAAACCTCTGAGGATGATTACGTTTGAAGGAGATTGGCCAACCTCAGAAGACCCTGAAAGGAAAATATTTGCCTTGCATATTTGATCTAGATCAATTGAATATTGATCTAGATCAATCTATCTCAAACAGGCTCTTTTCAGATGCACTGGAACTGCATTTCCTAGACTGTCAAGACAGAATGGCCAATATTCTGTTGTTTGCAAATCTGAGAGTTTATTCATATATAAAGAGCATCAGATAAATTAAGGTTACCCTAGGGCTGTGTTCTGACCCCCCAACATGTGAATAAACCAGAACACAGGCTTGGCTGTTTGCCACTGTTATAATTTACTGAGATAACAAATCCTTTGGCTGAGGGCCCAGGCAACTCACGTTCAATAGAGTATCTCTGCAGCAACCCAGATAACTCAAATGAAGCAACGCAGATAGTCCAAANATGTACAGTGACAATAAAGGCTTTGAGTTTTGTTCTTTCAGCCCAGGTTCTCTTTGGCTCCAGAGCAGGGGTGTCAAACTCAAGTCCTGGGGGCCCGAATACGGCCCGCAGGGTGGTTAGATATGACCTGCGAGGCAGGGATGGGTTGCTGCCGGCATTACAACTGGTCTGGTGCACAAACATATTTGTGTGTGTGCGCTTGCTTTACTCACACACACGCCAGATGTGCATTTGCACCTAAAAAGGTCTGTGCATGTGCACAACATTAGGAGGAAAAAATTACATTTGTTCAATGAAGATTGTTCTGCGCATGGGCAGAACAAAAAATCAAGATCCCCCCCCCCTCCAAAGATAGAACCGGTTAGGGTGCGTGTACAGCCGAGTTACTACCTAGTTTTCTGAACTGCTCTGAACTGGTAGGAACCCATCTCTGTTGTGGGGCCACCCTGGAAACAGAGAAGGAATGGCCCACGGTGCCTCTGCCCAGTGAAAACGGAGTTCAGCAGGGCTGCCTGCAGCCCACCCCTACCCCGAGCTCCGTTTCCGCTGGCAGAAGGTTGCAGGAGGCCGTTGTGGCTGAAAACGGATCTTGGGAGCCCGTTTTTTTGCTGGCAGAGCACTCGGCCCACCAGAGGTGCCCACAACATGAGTGCCCCCTTGCCCCGCCCCCGAGGTCAAACACAACCCTGATACGGCCCTCAATGAAATCGAGTTTGACACCCCTGTCCCAGTGCAATGCCAGACCAGTAGAGACCGCTAGATGGGGAATGGTTCTGCACAGCTAGCTAGGAAGCCAGCCTCTCTTCCCCTTACAACAGTAGTCCCCAAATTGTCGGACTGGTGGGGGGTATTGGGGGAAGCGGGGATGGTTCCATGTTCCATTCCAGCTTGCACGGCCCAGTTCCGAATGAGCCACGACCCAGTAGTGGGCTGTGGCCCCAGGGTCAGGCACCCCCAGGCACTCCTCTCCGGGAGGTTTACGTATGTCGGCATATCGTCCCCAACCATCTGGGTCCACATTTTACCGACTTTGGAAAGATGGAAGGCTGAGCTGGTCAGGATCGAACTCCTGGCTGCGGAATGCAGAGTCCGCCTACAATGCTGGCAAACCATCATTGGTTCTTCTAACCACTGTAAAGTAACACAAAGAGGAAACACAAACCACAATCCCAACACTACCTTTCTTGTGAAGTTACAGTAACAGAGACTTGCAAGTTAGAAAGCACTTCTCCCCTCCCCCTGCCTTTCCCTTCCAAAGAGCTAGGGAGGGTCCCCCTTTCGAGGCCATTCTCATGGTCTACTTAGAGAACCGGAAGACCAATAGGACTCCCCATCTTTTGAGTTAGCTCTTTCTCTGGCTTTCCACAACGCCTTTGAACCGTAGCCTAACTGTCTACCCTGCATTTATTTTATTTTTATTCATTTTGTTGTCAAGCATGTATGAGGAAGTATAACTATCATCGTAACATATAAACATGTAAGTATAAGCAGGTATACATCCATGCAAAAGAAACGAGTACAATAAATGGGAGCAGTAGGACAGGGACGGTAGACACGCTGCAGAGGTGGGTGGCTCCCGTTTCGACCCAGATCAGGCAAACCAGTAGTAGTGGTGGTCATAGGCTCCGTCCACCTTCCCGGACGCTTCTGCGC